TTATTTGGAGTTAGAGGAAGTTGACTGAGTGATATTTTTAAAAATCATAATTTTATGCCTTTATATGAACAATGGCCTTGTGAATTCTTGGAGATAGCACTTTTCTGGGATGGTAGAAGAACAAAAAGTGAAGCATGGATAATCACTCAATAGTAATAACAACAATAGCAATGAAAGGCAATCAATCATTTTGAATTTACTAAGTGCCTACTATGTGCCAGTTGCTATGGATAAAGTGCTTACTATGTTTCAGTCACTTTGCTAGGTACTAAGGATACAAAAATAAAATGAAACATTCTCTTCTCTCCAAGACCTTATAACCATCACAGGTGGTGGTGGTGGGAGGAATACATAGACATGGAAGTGCAAATAAAAAACATACAAAGTGAGTACAAGGCAGTTAAGTGAGAGAAGTTAGGGAGAGAGAACACTAGCTCTTGGCAGGGGGATCAGGAAGGCTTTATATGAACCATGTTCTTTGGCCTGAGTCTCAAAAGAAGTAAGGAGTGTAGACTTTGAGGTCAGATGGGAGTCCATTGTAGGCTTAAGCAATAGCCAGTGCAGAGGTAACAAGACGGGAGACAGAACATAACAGGCATGAGAAGGCAGAGCCTAACAGGCAAGAGAAGACCACTTTGACTGGCCACAGACTAAAAGAAAGAAAATAATGCATAATGGGGAGAGTTTGATGGATGCGGGCCTGGCTGTAAAGGGCTTTAATAACCAAACAGAGGAGTTGATTCTTTTCCTAGAGATATTAAGGAATCATTGAAGTTTATTGAACAAGAATGTGACATGGTCAGAAATGCATGAAAGAGAAATTACTTTGGCAGATGGGTGGAGGATGACTTGGAGTAGGAAAAGATCAATTAGAAACTATTAAAATAGTTCAGGGGAGAGATGTTGAGGACTCAAACTAAGAGGGCCGATGATGTGATTAATGAGAAAGGAACAGATGGGAGAGATGCTGTCCATGGAGGTAGGGAATTGTCCAGTAATAGGCAGCATGGCAAAGTGGATGTAAGGCAAGTTTTGGAATTAGGAGTTCCTGCATTCAAGCCCTGCCTCTGACATATATTAACTATGAGACCACCTGCAAGTCCCTTAATTTGTCAATGCCTCAGGCAGTTTTTAAGAGGTGGTTATCTGGAGGTGCAGATAAGTTGTCCAATCACAATCCTGCATTGTTGGAAAGAATTTACACAGAAAGAGATCCATATGCCAATCAAAGCACAAATGTGGAACTCAATCCTAATATCACTGCTATTAATAGTAGTACTAAAATATTAATAACGCATATAACACTTTGAAGTTTACAAAGGACTTTCCCTATAGTAAGCCACTAAGATAAATAGCAAAAGTATTACTACTACCTCTTTTTCATATGTAAATACTGAGTTTCAGAGAAATAAAGGACTTTGCCAAAGGTCACAGAGTTTTTAAATGTTGGAACACAGATTTGAACCCTGACTCTCCTGTCTCCAAGGCTAGTGCTCTAAATTGTAGCGTATTTCTGAAGCTTTGTAAATCTAAGTTCTAGTATATTTCTTTAACTCATTGGATCCCATAACTATCGCTCTTTAATGGCAAAGTACTGTACTCGGAGACCATGCATCATTGCAAGCCTTAATGATATCTCCTGTTATAAAGCAAGATAAAATAAAATAATACAAACTGAATTCCAACTTGGACCAAATAGCTTGTAGATGCTGCTTTTTGGGACTCCAGCAGAAGTGACTCTTTAAAACATTCTATAGTCATTCAGTTTAGTCACCCTCTCTATTGCCAAATAGGAATTACATTTAAGGAACTGACACAGGCACAGATTAGTTGGTGACAAAGCAAAGGGAATGACGTTTAAACATGTTTTAAAACATTCTTCCTTTCTTCAATCCTTATTTTTTTTCCCTTCTTTTTTATTTGGCCAAGAATTTCCTACCAGGTTATCATCAGCACTGTCAATGTTGCTCTCTCCGTCAAAATGAGTACTTGCATTCACCCTCTTCACTCCTGCTGTGAATGCCTACCAGCACTGGGGGCTGTTGAGAGGTAGGGAGTTAGTCCTGCCACTTTGTTTCCACTGTGTCCCTGCTCCATCTGAACAGTCTACTGATTTCAGTGAGCCATCCACAAAATGTTAGGATTAAGGAAGTTGACAGAGCCGGACCTACATGAATGAATGCGAATCTTGGAGCCCAAGACTGACATCTCAATTGCATTTGAGTTCATGCTTTCCTAGAGCTCTCCCAGATGAGTAATCTTGAAGCCACTTAGCAGATCAGTATTCACTACTGCAAATTGAGATGCACATTAAGGACAGAAAATTATTTCTGCTTGTGATATAGGCACCAATATATTATCTGGGTAGCATGCAAACTTTTTTTTTTTTTTTTCCGAAGCATCCCTTCCTAGACCCTACACCAAATTAGGGCCAAATAATACTATATGCACTGGAGGAATAAGCAACCCAGAGAGTATGTGGGAGTGTGTGTGTGTGTGTGTGTGTGTGTGTGTGTGTGTGTGTGTGTGTGT